CTTTTACAAGACTTCCGTTTACACCATATCAAAGAGTATCTTTTTGTCCCTTGACATGCAAAGTTTCATAATAATCGGATAAACGATAACAAAAATATTTCCAAAAAATCATTTTCCATACCGATTTTTGGAAAGCTGTAATTTTTCTATTTTTTGAGCTAGGTGAGTAAATATTGTGCTCTCTATTCTCATTTGTAGAGGGGTATTCGTGGTTAAAATTATGCCACACATTTTTGAAACACCCGATATATTAAAAAGCATTCTAATTTATAGAAGCCGTCGTCGTTGGCGTCACCGCAAAACTCGTCATTATGTGGTGCTTGCAAAAAGATCTCCCAACTTGCAACTGCAACTTAAAAAAAGGAAGAGGCCTCCTAAAAAGGCAATTTTTGGACATAACAGTAAATATATTTACAGGCATAATGAATTTATTCCAAAGATTACATTATTAGGTTTAGATGTTGTTGCATCGGAAACGTCCAAGCAATTGCTGTCGAGATGCACCGTTCACGTTGCAACGTTCCCTGGAAGTGCCACCGACGCAGCCACTCCCGCCTCTGCATCTTTTGTTCCCGTGTCATCTGTTTTGAGTACCGCCACCGAGTCTCCAATTCTGGGTACTGCCACTGTGTCTTCTATTGTTTTAAGTACCACCACCGTGCCTAGTCATCAAGAGAGCACTTGCTATGCTCTTCTAACTTCATCTGCAAGCAATATACATTTTGATAGAGATGTAGAGCAAGACGTTGTCATCCATGAGAAATCTTCAGGTACGAATATTACCTTATATTTATTTCTCAATTTTGATATAACTATTGTACACGAAGATATTCACATCGGCGAGCTACCTGTCTGCAGTCAAATTTCTCAATGTTTACCCACATCTCCAGCAACGTCCCCTGCTACTCCTTCGGCTTCTCTTGGAAATTTCGAAACTCCAAGGATAAAATACGATTTCAGTTCGGATGAAAAACCTTTTCTTGCAAGTGGCAGTTCAGATGAGTACGTCTCGTCCACCACCTCCGACGACGAAGAGGAGACTCCTTGTAAAGGCAAGGATTTACGTTCTCAAATTTCACCAACTTCAAATGTAAGTGAACACGATCTTGGCTTTGAAGGAGTAGTAGAAAAGCTTTTTACGGATCAATATGTTTCATCTGCCCCCAACAAATTGGTGCGACGAAATCTTTTGAGTGGTAAGATTTTTTAAACAGTTACGGCGTTTTCTACTCTTTAATAGTATTTACGGTTTATATCAAAATTGAATGCTATATCTTATCTACAACTTCATTATCTAATGTTTGAAGTTTTACCATTTGCTTATTAATTTTCAATCCAATCTTCTGTCGAAGAAAACAGCTGTTGCATGATGTCAAGAAAACAAATTAACAAATATTTTTTCTTTTAAATTTTTCCGAGTCTTCTGCTACTGCCACTGCTACTGCTAAAGTTACTTCACAAAACAACCCGCCCGATATTGAAAAAACGACTGTAAGTAGTTTAGTTGCAGCCTTCCTCAGAATTGATACAGAAACGGGTATGGCAACATTTGAAATGCGAAAACCTCTGCACGCTGGAAATTTTGACAGCCACTGCATGACCGAAGGTAAAAATGTGTACATTTTTGTTGAACAATTTGGGCAACTGGATAATCATACCTGTAAATCTCTCCCAGAACATGTGTAAACTCGAACGGTGACTGTGCTCCTTCGAAAAAACATCACTGATTGCCAACTCGAACTTAGCTCTTTTGTTTGGACAAGGCCTATTCTTTAGCAGGAGAAGAAGTTTTGCTACCAGATTGTTCACGCGTAGTACTGTTTAAATTATCCCAAACACAAGTTGAATCGCTTCGCCCAAAACCAGTTGTTTCTCATAGTGGTAAAAAGGAGCAGTGCTGTCTCTACTGCAAAAAGATGTATGTGGAAATTTCGTGTCATTTGTTACAAATGCATAGGTCAGAATCTAAAGTCATCAAAATTTCGAAAATTAATTTTAAAAGTAAGGAACGAAAAGATGCTTTGAAAGCGCTTCGTTTAGAAGGAGATCATCAGTACAATTTAAGCGTATTTCCTGAGCAACGAGTACCACTTCGAACATTCAAATTGACAAACATTAAAGATGGCGTTATTTGTCCACATTGTCACGGATTATTTGCTGTTAGAAATTTTGCAAGACACGAACGCGCTTGCAGCAGTAGAAATTCCGATCATAGGCGAGTACTAAAAGCTGCTCTAGAAATCCAGTCAGCCTATAGATAAAAAAATACGGAACGGTCTCAAAAAGATCAATTCCATATGGACTCTTTAGAAACGTCACTTATAGCCGCTTTGATATCTCCTATAAGAGAAGATGATTAAACATGAAATTGTCTCGGACAAGTGCTTAAAGTTGTTGGCAAAAAAGTTTGCTTTTAGACATAGGAATGCCCCAGGCGCTTTAAAAAACGATCGACAGCATTTGCGGCGAATGAGTCGGTTATTTTTGATGCTTAAGGAAATGGATCCGCCTATCATTGATTTCGAGGACTGTATTTGTAACGTTGCTTATGACGCTTTAACAGAGGCTGTGTGTAAAATGTGCAACATAGACGGCTCGAAAGGCAGTTTTGAAAAAGCACCACTGGCCAAAGCCTTAAGATTTACGATTACAGAGCTTGTACAATGCTTAAGAGTGGATTATATTAAAAATAAAATTTCGGAAGAGTCTAATCAGTACAAAGGATTGTTGGCATTTTTAGATCTTCACACTTCACAATACGGAATATACATTGGCAGTTCAGCATCGAGGACACATCTTGAGCTGCGGGCCAAAAAAAAAAGAACGAACTGCCTTCTCCTGCAGATATAAAAAAAATTCTACTTATATTTGCAATGAAGCAAGAAGGGCTTTCAATAAATTAACTTCAAACGAAGAATTTGATTACAATGCTTGGCTAAGCCTTGGAAAAGCCGAAATGGCTAAAATTATTTTATTTAATAGAAGAAGAGTGACTGAAGTGGCGGCTATGTCATTGGATCTTTTCAAAAATCGAATTTCATTACAAGATCATCATAAACAGCAGTTAAATCTTCACCAGAGAGTTAATGCGGAGCAATACAGAATCATGACTTTGATAGGGAAACGATCCCATATTTTGCATGTTCTTATCGAACAGGAGCAGTGCACCCACTTAGAAAAATTTACAGAACTTCGTAATAAGGCAGGTGTTTCTGATTCTAATAAATATTTATTTGGAATACCCTCCGATGTAATGTACATTGATGCCTCCAACGTTTTACGAGAATTTTCCTTTAAGTGTGGTGCGACGCGTCCGGATTTGTTAAGAACAACGTATTTGCGAAAACAAGTCGCAACTTTGGCTCAGGTTCTCAACTTGAATGACAATCAAATAGCTCAAGTTGCAGCTTTAATGGGTCACAGTCAAAAAGTACACGAGCAAATTTACAAGCAAGACGATCATTTGTTTCAAGTTACCGCTTGGACTAAATTTCTATCTATAGCCCGAGACGAAGACATCACATCTTACAAAGGAAAAACGTTTAAAGAAGTATTGACCTCTATTGAGAACACGGAGGTTCCAGATGTTGGTCCAGCAGACGAGAATCATTTCACTCTGGACGAATTATTAAATGTTGAAGAAATGGCAGTACTAGAAACTTCAACAAACATCAGAAGTGGTAATTTTAATGTGTTCAATTTTTATTTGCTACAATGCTAAATATGTTTTTTAGATACCGCCGTAACACTATACTGAGCCACAAACCCCTCGAAAGAGACCTGGGTTAGCTGCTAGGACAACTTCAAGGTCTGGAAGTTCTAGGTCATCAATAACACTTAGGAAATTTAAGCTTGAAACACCTATAAAGTCCCTTCCGAAATATAGAAAAAAAAAAAACGATTTTCACACGTAAAGAAATCGACACAATGACTGGTTGTTTCGCTGAATACATCACAGCAGGCAGTTTAGCACCAATGCGTATTTGTGATGAAGTGGTTGCTACGCATAAAGAAATTTTTTGTGGTCAACGCAGAGGCCGAGACTTGTACAATTGGGTCCAGTATCAGCGAAATAAACGAAGATCTCAAAATTACAAGTAATAAGAATGTTCGCTATGGTGATGTTTTTCTGCGTACCTCCACCCTGTTTACCACTGACTGGTGCCGCCACTGGGTTTATTACGACTTCGCGATTTGCGCTATAAATGGTAAAAAGTAATTTTTATTTTTATTTAATAAGTTTTGACAATTTTTGTTATTGTTCCAGCACACTGCTGCGTGTCTTGTGTCCTGTTTCTGAGCATACCGTTATCATGTCGACAACTGCTGGTGCCGCCACTGTGTTTATGCTGCTTCTAAGGGTGCCGCCAATGTGTTGCTGCTTCTGGGCATACTGCCATAAATGGTAAAAATTAATGTTTATTTTAAAAATTTAATAACAGCTTTGTCAACAGATTTACATTTGAGTTATTGTTCCAACACACTGCAGCGTGTCTTGTGTTCCTGCTTCTAAGCGTACCGCCATCGTGTCTAAAACTGCTGGTGCCGCCACTGTGTTTATGCTCCTTCTAAGCGTGCCATCATCCGTCTCTGTCTTTGAGTTATTGTTTCATTTAAATTAATTTTATGTCCAGTTGTTATTTATTTATCTAAATTAATTTTATGTTTAGTTTCATTTTTTATAAATAATCTGTATATTCGTATATTAATTTTTGTTTTGTTCAATTGCGTTTTTTACAAATATACTATTCGTATTAATATTTGTTTTTAATCACGCACTAGTTAAGTCACGGAAAACCAAATATAAAATTTTAGTATCTTTACGATAAATTAAATAAATATATTTTCATTTTGAGTTAAAGCCTTAAAAGCTATTGGAAGTTTTATCAAACATACATACGCACATACAGGGACAATTTTTTATTAGTATACATAGCCCCTTGTATACAATAAAAAAACCGGGTCAATTTCATAGGGGAGGCAACCAACATTTCAAGCTTTAGAGGGTAATAGATATTAAAAATATTCAAAACTAAAATTTTGTGTCAAGTTTGTCAAGGGTCAGTCTTGAAACTTAAAGCGGAGCTTTAAAAAGTTAATACCATTTATAATACCATGTACACCAAAGTAGATCAGGAGATATGGTCTCTTCGCATGCCATGCACCCACAATCGCCAGACTTGGCACCTAACGATTTTTTTCTTTGGGGATATTTAAAAACAAAAATTTATACTAATGTCCCAATGCAAAATGTAAAAGAGCTGAAAGAACGTATTTGTACAGAATGAAATAATATAGATCCTGAATTTATGAGGATGGAGTGCCGAGGTTTTTGGGTTATTGTTTGGAACTGCAAGGAAAGCATTTTTAACAATTGCTTTAATTATTTAATATTTTTCTTGTTTTAATGGGTTTTAATTTTTTTATTAATATTTAATTACATTTACTTCGTTGTTTTTAAAATTTTGTCTCCTATTTATCGATATTAAAACCTTTGTAATATTCGTTGCTTAAGGGCTAATCGTAATCATAGCAACATTGAAGTTCACACGGTTTTTTTAAATGTATACATAGGGCTTTGTATACTAATAAAAAAATGTCCCTGTATTGTAAGTACATTAAACGTTATTTCTCAACTTTTGACACTTCTGGTATGTTACTGAACACTTTTTTGTATAAACAAAATAAGTAAAATTTGATTAGGTTATAAATATCTGAACAAATGAAATAAGAATGACCTTTGAGATGAATTCAATTTTTGTTTAAAGCACGAGTCCGAAGGAGACATGATTTATATTTAAATTATTTTGTATTAAAACAATGGCTGATTTTGAAACTATCCACGGTAGGTGGCATTTTTTACTTAATTTTGTCAAGAAAAGTTTTCCCTTAAATATCTCCAAACGCCTACTGTTTTTTTGTAATTTTGATTTTTTGTAGTACCTACTCAAAGGCGTTAAATTCTATCTGCCCCTTATACAGGGTGCGCCAGAACTCGCGCCCCAGAGAAAAATGTCAAATGCCGGAGGCAATAGGTCGCCAAAAAGTGCAGCCAAAGAAGTAATTTTTGCTTGCATAAGAACGTTATTAGACTCTTAAATCCACCAATTCCAGAAGGGCACCTCAGGGTGTGATTAAAAAATTATATCCGTTGTTAGGTTACGAAAATAATACCAATTTGTCGGCTCGATCTTGTCTATCTCCGAGTTCTGGAATTTTCAATAATTTAAGTCGTTGACAATATTAGAAGATTAGAAGATTAGAACATGCTCTATTTTCTTGGATCCAAGCTAACTAAATTTGCAGGCGCAAGTTCAGTACTAAATTCAGTACTGAAATTAGTTTCCTGTCAGACAGCTCTAATAATGCTTTTCACCATGTAGCATTTTCATCTATGCCCGGCCATTATGCCTACGTAGAACAAAACTGGATTTGTCAGTAGAGATTACCATACTTGCATGTACCGCTGTAGCGCTTTTTTTCACCATTACAGTCAATTTTGACGATACTCAGGGGTGAAGAATTGTCTCAAACTGAAGACGCTATAAAAACAGTCCAAAACTTCAAAACTTTTTCTGCGGCAATAGACTGTTTGCTAGGATCTCAATAGACCTTATATGTTCTGTAAACCATGAATCCACAATCATCCTTGTGAGAGTAAAACAGTCTCCTAAAGCCAAAATTGTAAGATAGTGATCCTCGCGGTCTTTTGTTTTTAGACCGCGCCTTATGCATCGTGCTCTTTGTTTGGTCTTTCTGGAACCAAGTCTGATAACAACGAACTACAGTATTGAAACTCCTGTTCGTCTTTGTGGCAATTTCTGATAAAGTGACACTCTTAGACCCAGTATTTGCCCCCTATTAAACTCATAAATTTTAAGGAAATTTGTAGGCATGATAGACAGTTAAAAAAAACACTAAATTTATTATGTTTTAACACAAGAAAAAATGAACTGATTTGGCCGAAAATTTGATCGTTTCTTGTCTTAACTAAAACAAACAAGTAGAGATTCTTTCAATCCAGAACATCACACCAATAAACTGGCACACAAACCAAACTTCGTGCAGATCGAGCCTATTTCGCTCTCCAGGGGCGCACATTCCTTCACGGTCAAGGATACAGCAGCGGCAGCATCTCATTATAATTTTTCTCTTAGTATGCGTTTGTTGCTTTCGGTTTTCCTGGTCTTGAGATAGGACTGTTTTACTGATTTTAATGTTGTTAGTATACGTCGTCTGCGTTGATTGAGTAATAAAGTCTGGGCAATAGGCCAAAATCGTGAACTTGTCAAAATGGTAAATTCCGGTAGATGACGCGCGCATCACGCTCCAAGGAAACTGAAATTTGTGAAATTTGAACATTTGCAGGAAATTAAATGTTACAATTGTTGACACATTTAATAAAATATTGATCTGTCACACAACTAATACATTTTTCCAACTTAAGAAGCGCAGTATCAATATCATTCAGACATTACATTATAATTTTTAAAATGCCAAGTATCCGAACTTGCTGTGTTCTAAACTGTGGGCAAGGGGAGAAAGAGGATGTTATTTTACATCAGTTTCCAAAAAGTAGAAATCAAAAAAACGAAGGGCTTAAGAGAATATTTGGTACCATCGGCACTATACCCCCAAATTCCGTGATTTATGAAAAACACTTTGAAATAACCAGCTATTATAAAAACAAAAAATTGTTACTAAATGCAGTTCCATCCTTGCTCTTGAATTATTCGTTTTCAGGTAATTTCTACCACTTCCATTAATTCAGAACGTAAGCCGTTTGAAACGCCTGCACCGTGTCTCCAATCTCCAGTCATTTGACAAAAATTATACAGGGTGATTCAGATAAGATAATGAGCCTGACGATCTGGCGATGCAACCCAAAAAACAAATTTCATTTACCTTTTGATCTAATTTTAATTACGATTTGCATTTGCAATCCAAGTTATCTTATGTTGCTCTGATAGTGCTTTGACATAGAATTTATGATTTAAAAAAAAACTGTTTGCCTACCTTTAATGTTTCATTGTTTCATACATTATGTATTGGGTTTACACCGAAAATACTTATCTGACTTCTCTATCATTCCGCGAGAACTGTATGGCACTAATAATCATTCTCTGCACTAATGTCAGAGTGACACCAAGATGATAACTTGGATTCAACTTGCAAATCCTAATTGAAATTGGATCAAAGACGTAAATGAAATTTGTTTTTTGGGTTGCATCCCCAGATCGTCAGCACATTATCTTATCTGAATCGCCCTGTATAATTTCAAGTCCATTTCGATTTGATTTTGATCAACAAAGCGATTTAAAAGTAGGTGATACTCATGATTTTGATTTAAAAATTTCAGATGCAGTAAGTTCGGCAGAAAAATTTGTCTTACTAGATAAAATTCAAAATTTAGAAAAAAAGTTACAGAAAGCAAATGTACGATTTCAAAAGTTGGATAAGTTGCTATATGAAAATAAACTTGAAAAACTAAAGTAAATGTAGGAAAAAATTGACAATTACAGTAAAGGTCAACATTCTGTAGTGAAAATTGAGTCCGATGAACTAAGGGTTGTGTTTTTACGTCATCAAATTTATAATTATCTCCTAAAATACCCAAGATGGTCTGAAGTTACAGTACGTTATTGTATTGCCTGGAGGTACATTTCTTCAAAAGGTGATGAATTTGCAAGAAGAAGTCTGTTTTTAAAAGCTCCATCCAGAAGAACTTTAGACAGATATATGGGAAATTCTCAAGGGGATCCAGGCTTGACTAATTTAATTAAAAACAGAATAACTCCTGAAGGCAATAATTTAAAAGACGTTGAGAAAATATGTTTATTTTTTTAAATAATAGTAGATTATGTTATTAGGAGTAAAAGTGATTGTTTATGTGGCAAAGCTGAACGTTCATTTTGCCGAACGGAGTGAGGCAAATGGATTCAGCTGAGCCACATAAACTCACTTTTACTCCAAATAACATATACTATTTTATCTGCAAACGATTCAGATGGAACGAAAAGAGCAACACACCAATAATCAAGTAAATCACCTCAATAATCAGGACGCTTTGCAATAAAATCATAACAAACGTCACGCGTCAGTTTCGGAATTTGTGTTGAGATTTCGAAATTGATTGATTTAACTGGTGAATAACTGGTGTAGTTTATAGTGCAAAATGTCGAATGTTGATAATATACCTTGTACCTCTCCAGAAAATGCTGAAAAAGCGAAAGGGACAAGAAAGAGACAATAGTGGTAAATGTCAAAGTAAGTGTCAAGTAAAAGTGAAAACGCCTAGGCGTAAAAACAGTGTTTTTACTCCATGTCTGAAAAGTAAAACTTTTACCTGTGTCATTTAATCATAAAAGTGGTCACTTTTGTGACGTTTGCAGATAAATAAAATTATATTTGCGTATAAAATGTTTTAATTTTTTATGTTTTTCGACTAGTTCTTAGAAAAAAAATCAAAAGTAAACAATTACGCATTTATTATTATACAACCCATAAAACACAAAAGTAAATTTTTGTATACAAAAATTTATCAAGGTTTCAAACCAAAATATACAGATTCCATTGGAGCGCGGACTCGTCGCTCCCCCAACGGCCATTTTTTTGGCATTGCCCAGACTTTTATTACTGGCAATCAACGCAGACGACGTTAGTATATTTAAAAAAGTCCAATCTGTCACTAGAAACACTATAGTAACATGATTATTCATGATAAAAAACTTTTTTTGAAAATTACAGGAAATATAAAAACCGTATATCGTTGAAAAGCTTGTCAAAAATGCTGTCAATACGTGGAAAATAATACAGTGTGTTCTGTTTAAAACGAAGTGAGTTATTTTACTTTTTGCGTGCTGGTACACCCTGTAAAGTGTCTGCGTGCTTGAGCTAAAAGTGGACTATTTGCTAAAACTATTCTATGTTTTTCTTTTGCAATTTTTTATAGCCGACTACGCAGTGATTTTTCAAATGTTACACTTTTTCATAACAAAAAGTTGGATAATCCGGAAACAGAAATAGATAGACCTATAATAGTTTACACAAAGTACCATTATATCTTTACGTAGAAAGTGATAATGTAAAATATACGGGGTGTCTCAGCGAGTTGAAAAATCCATTAGTGACTTAAATGGTAAAATTTGAGAAAAATTGTATAGGACAATGATGGATACTAATCTAGTACATCACCTAAAATTATTTTCAACATACAGCATGTCCCAAAAATACGTTACGATACAAACTTTTGTTTTTTAAAATGAAACACCGTATGTTTCTTTGCATTTTTGGATGTAGCCTTTTAAAACAATATTTTTACGCTAAACTTTTATTAGTCGATTTCGCTTAGTTTTAGAAGTAATACGTTTTTTTGATGAAAACATGCACTTTTTAAAAATTCATCACACAAAAACTAAGACAGCTAGAACAAATATTTTCTTACTTCTGCAAAGACGCTGTAGCATTTTTTTAGTGTTTTACAATGGGGTACTATACTATTTTTTTTTATTGTCTAAGTTAAATCTACATAAAAAAATAATATACCCGTGTTTCTTGGTTTTTGCGAAAGTGTGCATTCAAGGCGAAAAAAAATGTTGAAGTTGGTGCAAAATAAACACACTTTCAAACACACCATGTTTGCGCCAAGTGATGACGTGAGCAGACCCTGACGAACGCGCAAAATCAGCCAAAGCCGACAGCTCTAACCCAAGCTCCAGTCTGCGATCCGATGGAAGAAAGTCGTCGGTAAGAGTGACAAAATAGCGCTGCGTTTGCTGATTGGACGGGGAGGCCCGACGTCGTCAAACGCGCATTGGAATACCATTTAAATGTAGTGGATCAAAAACCACTTGTTTAAATATCATTTATTTAAAAAATTACAGCTTAATGGAAAATCGATTTTTAGTTATATTGCAATTTAACAAAGAAGAATAATATAAACCTAAATTTTGCCTTCTTTTTTTATAGTATAGTACCCCATTGTAAAGAATAATATAAATTAAGAAGTTTGTTAAAAGTTAAATAACTTAAAAAAATTAAATGGAACACCCTATTTTTTATTTTATCATCTAATAGATTGATAAATTGTCTATCTAAAAAAAATACTTTTAATGTCTTGAATTGAAAAATGATAAGATATTTAACATTCAATATTAATTATAGCAAGAATGCCTATCAATATCTGAGCATTGTTGATACTATGGCAAGCATAGTAATTCCACCACGGATCTCTTATCCGTTGATTTATCCAGAAATTGTAAAAGTCGTACTGAAATTAAATTATTTTATGGTAAAAATAAAGAATAATAGATTCAGTTTAACACAAATGTGATTATTAAGTGATATTTCTTTTGTCTCTTGTGCAACTGTGCTCTTTTTGGCTACTAAAAAAAATAGTAATTACTTTTTTTAATGTTTAAAGTTAAATATATTTTTGGTTATTGATTATAAACACCTTAAAAGTAAATAATTTTAGAAAGACAATTTAAAATAATAATTTAATCATTTTTTAAATGCAAAAGCAATAAATAGGGTGCTTCATTTAATTTTTTGAAATTATTTATGTTTTAACAAACGCCTTCATTTTTTTATCTTTGCAAATGCTGCACACTAAAAAAACCTTATAGCTTGTACCTTCTTCATTGCGGTTGTAAAAAAATATTTGTAGATGTCTTAGTTTTTGTGTAATAAATGTTTAAAAAGTGAATGTTTTCGTCAAAAAAAACGTCTTATTTTTAAAACTAAGCAAGATAGACTAATAAAAGTTTAGCTTAAAACAATGTCATAAAAATCTACATCCAAAACGCTAAGAAACATTTGGTGCTTCATTAAAAAAAAATACAAGTTTGTATTCTAGCTTATTTTTGAAACACGCTGTATAGTTGAAAATAATTTTAGACGATGGACCAGATTAGTATCTATCAATGTCCCATATATTTTTTTAATATTACTATTTAAAGGTCGACTTTTTCAACTCGCTGGTACACCCTGTACAATAGGGTGTTCTATCTAAAAAAATATAACTTTGGTTCACTGTATACAACATCCCGTATATATTAAAATTATTATCTACTTTAAGTATATCTATCGGATGTTGAAAACAACACGTCAATATATTAACTAACAAAAAAGTTATCGACCGATTACACACCCCTGGGTCAGTCTGTATGTATTAAACATCTAATAAACAAATGTTACAACTTTAAAAATAATTTTGATGAAATAGTTTGTAATTAGAACGTAGGGTAGTAAACAGCCATTAATCCCAAGGAAATTGATGGTTTTAATTTGTAAAGCCGGAAAGTGTCGATGTAAATACGTAACGAAGAAAATTACTGTCGCACTTTTCTAATTGATATTTGGTCAAGAGGAATTAGATACGAAACTAACTTAATCTTTAATTCAGATCGATAACAAACGAAAATCCTCCATCATTTTTAATCCTTAAACATGTGTTGATTTAGTGCGTGGCAAAAAGACGATAAAACTAATTGATAGGAAATATGGTTTTGGAGGAAGTGAAGTATAGTCATGATGTTTTATTGCTTTTTGCATACATTTTTCACGTTTTGGAAACTTTAAGGATAATGAAGCAACAATTAAGTTGCGCAATCGCATTTTAGAGGATCACACAAACACTAGTTTTGAACGCAACAGTTCTCTTGTACGTCTCGTGGTTAGCGTTTTGATAGCGCTCGTGCGACTTTTTTCACACGATAACATTATCAGTTAATGAAATGGTTAAAATAAACGGCAAAATAAGTTACAGAATGTGTTGATTAGAAGCAAATCACTGATGCAATAATAAATAAGTTAACGAATTTACATTTTTTTATAGGAAAAATAAGAAATTTCAAATCGTAAGTAAAAAATTCATCAATGCGATTATAAATAAAATTTTAAAACATGATTTATAGACTTTAAGTAATAGTAGATAGAATAAAATGAATTACATTTTATTTATAATCGTCTGTTATGCAAAAAAATATTTAGTATTTATTTAACTATTGTGCTCTTACCTTTTATGTAATGTAATTCCACTTTTACGCAAAATTAAATGGGAGAGTTTATCATTTTCATCGTACTTTTCAGAACCTACCATTACCATTAATGTCATTTTGCTCACGAAGGTGTTTAATTAGAGAAGCAAAATAAATGCAAATTGGTTGCGTTCAAGGACAGTCAGGTTCCTTATTTACCGTTTTATTATCTTCTCAAAAAGTAATTTTTGAATTAGAATATAGAATTTAGAATTCAAAAGGTTCTCAAAAGTTTTCTGAACGAGGTATAATGTAACGAATGAATAGAAATTAATTTTTTTAATTGACTACTATTCATCGACTGATTAATTGGAGCAAAATATGTGTGTGACGATTGCAAAAAAATACGAAAGCTCAAGAGAATGATGGTGTAATTATAATTATGACTCAGAGCTTTACTCAACAATTTGAAAGAAAAGTTGTAATTTGATTGATTTTATTTTTAAAGATAATGACGTGGATGTATTAAAAATGTAATAAAACTGTTTTAATGTCAACAACAAAACATAATATTGCTAACATCCTGTTTTATAAAACTAATTTCGACCAAAGAAGGCAATAATAGGCTATTAAATCAGAGATTATAGTTGCTTCAAAATTAAATGTAATATAGTTTCATAGACTGGGCTTTTGTCATTCAAATGTAGACATAATAGTTTTTTTACACATTGACTCATCCCAAGATATCTTTAATTTAATAAAAATGTCATCTTTCTTAATTTTGGTGTATATTTTAGGAGAGTGAGGCAATGTTCTCAAGGCAAATCATTTTTAAATCTGCCTTCAATTTGACAATATTTACAACATATTATTTATTTTGAAGGAAAGTGTTTTTCGAAATTTCCAATTGAGCAAGAAACTTCTAAAATTATTACAGCTTTTGTGAAACACTAAAACTACATATTTTATCACAATAAAATTTATCTGCTTAGGAAAAAACATAATTCACAAGTGTGCATAAAATAAACTGCTCAACAGTTTCTAAGGATTATTAATCTTGAGAAAACAGGGAAGGTAGGATTTCGTCTAGCAGTTTTGACTAAAAATTGACCTTAAGCACACGTTTCGACCTCCACGATAAACGCTGCAGTATAAATACGCTTCTCTTTTTAACGCTTCATTAATATAAACCCTAATTTATATTACGCTTTTCGTGAGTGATATCTTTTGTGATTGTCCAACAAATTACGCCTGAGAGTAATTTTTTTATGGATTGATTTTTACACTTATTGAAAACATTTTCAAAATAAATATTCTTCATAAATAAAACACTAATACAGTCCAATAATGACTCGAATATAAATTAATACAGGGTGTGTCAGAACTCGCGCCCCGGAGAAAAATTTCAAGTAAGATAAGATACCAGGAAATTTGACATTTATTTTTTGACATTTGACATTTTTGGACATTTTGTTATATCTATTTAATGATACTGTATATGTTTTTGCCAATAAAAGACACAAATAACATTAAACAGAGTTACAATTTAGGATACAGCTGCCTTGTTTCCTCTTCTAATAGCCTATAGCAAAAAAACTGGAAAATTATTTTTTCAACAGAAATAAATAAAGTCAAAATGCAAAATTTAAACTCTTGTAACTTCGAAATTTTTATAGATAGAACTTTTTAACACATTTTCCATGTTCCTGGTATCTTACCCTACATGGCATTTTTCTCTGGGGCGCGAGTTTTGGCGAACCTTGTATACAGGCTGCGCCAGAACTCGCGCCCCAGAGAAAATTTTCAAGTAAGGTAAGATACCTGGAACATGAAAAAAATGTTTAAAAAATTCTATCTGTCAAAAAATTTTGACATTTATTTTTTGACATTTGACATTTTTTTATATATATTTAATGATACTGATGATCTTGTATATGTTTTTTTACAATTATTTAGTAAAGGCACAAAAATTTTGTCAGTAAAAGCCACAAATAACATTAAACAGAGTTACAATTTAGGATACAGCTTCCTTGTTTCTGCTTTTAATAGCCTATAGCAAAAAAAAACTTAGAAAATTATTTTTCCAACAGAAATAAATAGAGTCAAAGTGCAAACTTTAAACCCTCATAACTTCTAAATTGTTATAGATAATTTTTTTTAACATTTTTTCCATGTTCCTGGTATCTTACCTTATTTTTCTCTGGGGCGCGAGTTCTGGCGCAACCTGTATGTATGTATAATAGTCTATTATGTACCTAGTTTTAGTTGGCACGAACGAAGCGCAGTGGAGCTATGAACGAATGTCTAGAGTAGTTATACTTTATCCACGACCACCACAAAAAAATTACTAATACGACAGTTGCTATTAGCAACGTAGCTAATACGCATATTATGTTACAGCTTGTCAAGATGTTAGTACGAAGTAATCCAGAAAAACTGAGTCTGTTGGTAACAGATTTGAAAGTATTTTTGTTAATAATTTAAAACACTGCAACCGTATACGATTTTGCTTAACAAATACTTGACGTACAATCCCTAAAGATTGTTGAATTATTTTTAATTAATTTAAGCGTACTCCAGTGGTAACCTTTAAAAATTAGAGTCAGGATTACCAACAGAAAAAATTCATTGTTGATCACTTTGTATATAAAAGGTGTTTTTAGCGTCATGAAAACATAATATACAGTATGTCGCCGGATTGTGTTTACAAGAGGAATTTTTTTATCTTTGATTTTACGCCAAAACTGCAAAGGAAAAACATTTTTTGTTTTATTTGAAACGAAAAGCTAAGAAAAAGAAAAGCTAAGTTTTCTCTTGATTTTGGAACAATTTTTCACTGCTTCTTAGGCCCTATAGCTGTATGTCGTTTTGACAATTAATTTATTAATTGAATAATGATAGTTCTTGTTAAAAATTACTTTGTTGTTTATCTTAAAGTTCTTTCTTTGAGTAGCCATTTATTAAAATTATGTTTTTCACAAACATTTTTGTTATTTAACTCGTATAAACTCATTTGTCAAAGTGACATCATTGTCCAAAAAAATAAAACTGCCAATTTGATTTGATTTGATTCAAGCACAAATTTGAAATTCCGAAACAGGCCGCGTAGCGGTTAGTTGAGGAACACACAGTGCTTGAAGAACCTTCTGCAACAAGTGCTTTATACTATTTTTTCTATTTTGCCGCTTTATATCATTGTATAAATTAAAAAACAAAAACTTAATTTTTTTTCTAGAGAATTTTGCGACGGTTGGCGACATTTAGGTATGTGGAATAATTTTTAGGCGGCTGTACAAAATAAAAATAATTCATATTTTCACATTTGAAAATTAATTGTGAAGAAAGTCCGTCACTAAAATTAAATTACCGCGAACGACTTATTCCAGCACTCAAATGACGTCATTTGGGTGCTGGAATAGATTCTAACACCGAAATAGAAAAAAATTATTCCAAATCCAAAATCTAGAGAAAAATGAACTTTTCTTTCTATTGATTGAGAAAAATGAAGTTTTAATTACAGATTTGCTCATTTCAGGTAAAGCAAAAAATGTTTTTTCTTTGCAGTTTTGGCATAAAATCAAAGATATTTTTTTCCCTCTTGTAAACTCAATCCGAGCACAATAATCCGTGTTTTAGATTTGGGAGTAAAAGTGTAAAAGACAAAGTTGCGCGACACTATAACTTTACGGTTTTACGGTTAAGGCTTAACTTATCGTTTGCCAAGATAGGGAATTTCAATGCATTTTTCGAAAAGGTTTTTCTCAGCTATTATAAGGAATTTTTTTGTTTTTATTTTTTTGATGAAACCATTTTAGATATTTCTAGGGATATTGTTATGTAGCTAATTTAAATTCTTATTTTTTATATATTTTTTAACATATTTTTTATAATAAAATTATAGTATTTATATGGAAACTAACAATGTCCTTCCTACATGTACCAAAGACCTTAAGAAAAAAAATAAAATCGTTCGGATAATTGATAACTCTAAAATCTCTTGTGGAAAATATTATTAACTTTCGTAGTGTGAAAATCGTCTTGTCTCTCTCAACCCTAGTTCTTTTTCACAACAAACTGAGCTTACCGCAAGCAGACCTCCATCACCGGTTTTATCTGATTTATGACCTTACGAGGGATGTTTGGCATCTATAAGGAAACAACTAAAAATACAAGCTGTAAAATTATGTCATTTTAAGAATTGATGTAAAAGATGAATAAATTTAATAAGACGATGTACTTATCAGGTAATTCAATTTTTCACCAAAAATTAAGTCTAATTATTATGCAGAAATGTAGGAATAACTTGAAGCTTTTTTTCCTACTGGATACCTGCTATGGGTTTTTAATCCGTTAGGGATAGCTACTGATATGATGAAGTTTACAAAAGTAGTACTTAGAGTCTTCATAACAAAATACTGTTTATTGCTTGAAAGTATGTAGGTGGACAAGAGGCTTATTTTTCTATTCGCTGTTTCTAAATAAATTAAAATTGGAAGTACCAAATGCTGCTCTCATTTCATATAATTGTAAAGGTAAATATGTAAATCAAAAAAGTCCGGGATATTATACTACTAAATATGTAAACGTACAACAAAAAATAAAAGCAAATAATTTAAAACGAAAATTAAATAAAAATAATTACAACAATCTAGTAAAGAGAAGAAAAATTACTGAAGAAGCGGATGGTGATTATGGTTGTGTTGTGCAAAGATGTTAAGTAATTTAAACAACTGAAGAAATTCAGATAATTTTTAATCAAACAATTTTATTACAATCACTATTTACCAGCTTATGCTGAAATGTGTTTAAAAAATAGTTGCTCTATGTAAAGTACAGTCGCTTATAACTTGTGACGTTAGTGTTTTTTATTCCATTTGTTA